TTGATAGTTGAAGCACAAGGTTTTTCAGGAGGTATCTGGCTTGTTTGGAACTCTTGTGATGTTAAAATTTCTCTCATTTCCCAGCATGATCAATTTATTCATTGTTGGGTGGAGCTGGCTGGTTTGAAGGGCTTCTTTTGGACGGCTGTTTATGCCAATCCTCAAGAAGGGAAGCGTAGGCTGTTGTGGGAGGAGTTAAAACAGATTGGAAGGACTATGGATGAGGCATGGTTATTGACAGGTGACTTTAATGAGATTACTAGTGCTGAGGAGAAGAGGGGAGGAGGTCTCATTGACTATAGTAGGTGTATACAGTTTGCAAATGTGTTGAATGCTTGTGGTGTCTTGGATTTGGGAGGAGGTGGCAATAGATTTACCTGGAGAGGTCCAAAATTCCTTCATTTGGACAGAGTATTTAAGAGACTTGATAGAGCTGTGGCAAATGAGAATTGGAGAGCTAGTTTTCAGGATGCTGATGTGTTAACACTTCCTAGACTGTTTTCTGATCATTGTCCTGTTCTTGTCAGATTGGAGAAAGAGGAAGTAGGATGGAGAGAGCGGCCATTTAGATTCCTTGCTTCCTGGCAGGCTGATCCCAGATTTAGCAATCTTATCAAGGCTAATTGGAACCAAGCTACAAATCTGTGTGATGGGTTGCACTCTTTCACTCCAGTTCTAAAGGACTAGAATAAAAATGTGTTTGGTTTTATCCAACACAAGAAGAACAGAATTATAGCTAGATTGGATGGTATTCAGAAGCAAAGTAGTAGCTATCCTAGTAGGCAATTTGAGAAATTGGAGGCCAAGCTAAGAAAGGAGCTCTCAGATATACTGGATCAAGAGGAACAGCTTTGGCATCAAAAATCTAGAGGAGACTGGATTAGAGATGGGGATAGGAATACCAGGTTTTACCACACCAGCACTTTGATCCGAAGGAAAAGGAATAAAGTCCTAAAACTGCAAGATGAGGCTGGACACTGGATCAATGGGGAAGAGGAGCTCATTGCTTTGGCTAGGAACTTCTTCATTAATCTGTTCAAGGAAGAGACTTATGTTCCTATTTGGTTGCATACTAGTAATTCTTGGCCAGAAATAAAGGAAGACCAGTTGGAGTCTCTTTCTTTAAGTGTTGGAATGGAGGAGGTGAAAGTTGCTTTTTTTCAGATGGCTCCATTGAAGGCACCTGGTCCAGATGGCTTCCCTGCTTTGTTTTTTCAAAGGAACTGGGAGATCCTTAAAGATCAAGTTCTCACAAGTATGAGGGGGTATCTTGACAAGCCGCAGCTAATTCAGGAGATTAACTACACTATGCTAACTCTTATTCCTAAGATTGAGAGACCTTGTCTCATGAAGCAGTTTAGACCAATAGCACTTTGTAATTCTATTTACAAGAGGCTGAGCAAAATCCTTGCTAACAAAATTAAACCTCTTTTGGGGAGTCTCATTTCCCCCAATCGGGTTAGTTTTGTTCCTAGAAGGCAAATCCAAGACAATATAATAATTGCTCAAGAGTTGGTGCATGCGATGCATAAAATGAAGGGAAGGAAGAGCTTTCTGTCCATCAAAATTGACTTAGAAAAAGCTTATGATAAGCTCAATTGGAGGTTCATAAGATCAGTGTTGGATGAAGTGAAACTGCCAGGGGATTTAGTTGAAGCCATCATGGGCTGTGTGACTAGTACTCATTTGGAGGTGTTGTGGAATGGGGGTAGGACTACTGGATTTAGTCCTCAACGTGGCATTAGACAAGGGGATCCCATATCTCCTTATTTGTTTGTCTTATGTATGGAAAAGCTAACTCATTTAATTATGGATGAGATGGAGGCTAAGCATTGGAGACCAATAAAGGCTGGAAAGTCTGGTCCATATATTTCTCACCTTATGTTTGCAGATGATGTTATATTGTTTGCTGAAGCATCTTTGTCTCAACTGGAATCAATCACTCATTGTTTGGAGAAATTTTCTAAGATGTCTGGGCAATGTGTGAGTGTGGAGAAGTCTTGTATATATTTCTCAAGGAATGCTCCTCAAGAGGTAGTAGATTCGGTCACCTCTGTTAGTGGGTTTAAAAAGGTCAGTAATCTTGGATGTTATTTGGGTTCTTTGATGAAGCATGGTAGAGTGAGAAGAGATCATTATGCTGATGCTATTACTAGAGTCCAAGGTAGACTGCAAGGATGGAAGTCAAAGTGTCTATCTCTGGCAGGTAGGATTACCTTAGCCAAGAGTGTTATTTCATATATCCCTTCCTTCCAGATGCAAAACAGTATGTTACCTGTTCATGTTTACCAGGAGATTGAGAGATTGCAGAGGAACTTCATCTGGGGGGATTCTGAAACTAAGAAGAAAACCCATTATGTATCGTGGGAGCAAATCTGTCAGTCTAGGGAATGTAGTGGGTTAGGAATCATGAATCTGAGAAGACAAAATGAAGCATTTATGCAAAAATTGGCTTGGCAGGTTATGACTGATCATGATAGACTTTGGGTTAAGGTGCTGTTAGGAAAATATGGTAGGAATGCTAATCCTAGCCGCTGCCTAATCTCAAGAACTTCTGACTCTCCTCTATGGAAGCATATATGTAGAGGACACAATGACTTATATCAGCACCTTGAGTGGAAGATTGGTAATGGAAAGGAAATTTATTTCTGGTCTGATGTGTGGGGAGGGTGGAAGAGGAGTCTATATGACCTTGCTGCACATAAACCTCCTGATTCTCAGCTATCCTTTAAAGTAAGTGATTATGTTGATCAAGTCACGGGGGATTGGAGATGGAGCTGCCTTGTTATGTGGTTAGATACTAATACCATTAATAAGCTTAAAAACATTAGAACCCCTGCTATTGATGGTCCAGATGACAGTTTGAACTGGATTTGGAGTAGTCCAAGTAAGTCCTTTGTGAGGAATGCTTACTGTCATTTCCCTGAATCTGGTGAAAGAGATCGAGTTTGGGCAGCTATATGGAAGTGGAGGGGGCCTTACAGGGTTGCAGTTTTTCTATGGCTGGCTTGTTTGAACAAAATTCCTGTTCGAGCTATGACAGGACAATGGTATGGGGGAGAGAGTATGTGCCCTGCTTGTAAGATTCATCCAGAAACTGTTATGCATGTGTTGAGGGACTGTAGGGTAGCTAGGCAGGTGTGGGAAAGATGGTTCTCGAATAATATTCCTAAAACTTTCTTAGCAGTGGAAGGAAGGGAATGGTTCAAGATTAATCTGTTTCACCCTTTTGTTAGTAAGCTTTGGGGGTCTTGGAAGGAGGTTTTTTTTGTGACCTGCTGGTTTTTGTGGCAGTGGAGAAATTCAACGGTTCATGAAGTGTTGTTTTCGTTGCCTCAAGATCCAGTGCATGCAATCCTGGTTTTTTTGGATGGGATGAAAAGAAGTGCTAATCTTGATGTCTCTGCTGCAGGGGCTGATGGCATTTCCCTCGTTGGGAATTCTGGACAGCAGATTGATGAATATCAGGTTAAAATTTTTGTTGATGGTGCCTGTAAGCTAGCCTCCAATATAGGATCCAGTGGTGGGTTTCTTTGCTCCTCTATAGGTGAATGGAAAGGTGGTTTCTCTTACAATATAGGCAATTGTTCTTCCTTGGAAGCTGAATTATGGGGGATATATCATGGCTGTAAATTGGCAAGTGATATGCAGTATTCAAAGGTGTGGATAGGCTGTGATAGCAAAGAGGCTTTACTTTGTTTAGAGGAGAATGATGAAGTTTGTGGTTTCTCATACTTGATAGGCAAAATTCGAGAAGTGGCTCTGGCCTTTGAGAAATTCCAGTTGGAGTTTGTCCCAAGAGAATCCAATTCTTGTGCAGATTACTTGGCTAAATTAGGATTTAGTCTCAAGGGTGAAGAGTTGAGGTTACACTCCTCTCCCCCTGATGATATGTTGAAGTTTTGGTTAGAATTTAGCTCCATTTTGTTGATGGAACATGTTTGTTTGTATTTGCAGCGTTTGACTGTTTAGTTTTCTTTGGGCTTGGCCCTCCATTTTTATCAAAAAAAAAAAAAAAATAAGTGTAAATAGCCCAATAAGGTTTACAGGCTAAGCTACTATTTTACCGAACAAGATTAGGCCCTGCCTCGCCCAACCCAACTCATTATCTCCAATCAAGTTCTTTCATGTTAGATTAGCGTTCGTTAAGAAAAACAATTGGAACTTCACTAACCGTTATAACTACCAGCTTATTTTTCAATATAGGAATATAAATAATGTGCACGTCAATAAATTTTTGTATCCAAAATTTCACGAAAGCATGTTTGTTTAACCAGCATAACCCAAAACTTCCATTACATTCAAAATGAGGAAAGTTTGTAAGCCAATAATCATTCATGGATTTAATTGCAAAAGATAATAGTTTTACATGATATATTTCCTAAAACAGTGTTCTTCAATATTTTGGATAAAAAAAAAAATTAGATTAAAGGAAAGCACACCTCCTTACAAGGTCAAGAAAGACCGCCAACCTCATTCAGAATTTGCCATGGAATTATATATCGCCAACTAAAGAGAGAAACATGATAATCAAACCCAAGCCACCACTAGTGCTGACAGAAAATTCAACCAGATGTGTAAACTCTCTTTTGCTAGTTGGGTCTTTTAATTGTTCAAAATGATACATGTGTAAATAACCAGTTCTCAGTTCTATTGCAGATGATGTCAGCCAACATTCCAAAGCCAAAGTGTGGCACTCATTTTTATTTTTTTTTAAATATTCCAATCGATTCATTGCTTCGCAACTAATCTGATTCGCGGCGGGTTCAGGATTAAGGCTTTAAACCCCTCCCAAAAGTGGTACTGGGAAGATTTGAACACATGCTCTCACCCCCACCTGCTTAGCTCTCATGCATCAACTGAGCTACCACCATTTGGTAGTGTGACCCTCATTTTTAAAACCCGTAATTGGAAAGGAAAAAAAAAAAACTGTTAACAATTCTGTGAGGGCAGCATAATAATACATGAAGGTTGATAAGGTAATTAAAAATCAAAGACAGCATTATAAATCTCCCTGGAAATTTAACCCAAGGCATTCGTGTAGTATTGCTATTCACCAACCAATCACCTTATCACGAACAATTCATGTTTTGATGTCCCTTAATGCTAATGTATAGTCACTTTACAAAACAAGTGAACAAAATTCAGTGTAACTTTGGCTCTGTAAATTAACTGTGAGCAATAGCTACAATGAATACGGCTCTAAGTCAACTCCTATATTATTCTGCAGTTTTGGAAATAGTATATGCAACATTACATCAAAAGCTGGTGATTTTCCTCTTCATCACTTTGGCAGCAACAGCATTAATGAGTTATGCAGTTTCAGCAGTGATACCTCAAAAAACATCTGCAAGTTACTGCTTCACAGTGGAAGTCTACCTTTTTTTGTTTGTGGCTTTTGGATTCTTGCACATTCGGATACTTTGGGGGGTGACCTCTACCAGTTCATCTTCTTGGATGTATTCGATGCAGTCATCCAGACTATAATCCAACGGTGTATCGAGAATCACTGCATAAGGGAGTAAGGTAAATAAATTTTTTCTCAATTATTAGCTTACTACCGTTATAGAGAAGTGAATGTGAAGTTGCACATTGTTAATAAATAATGGACTTGTAAAACATAAAACCAGGTTTCAGGCTTATATAATGTTGTCAACCTAGGATTCATAACTAATCTTTGTCTGAAAAGCTAATTCAACAGTTTTGTATAATCCTGTAACAGTAATTATGTATTGGTGACCTTCAAAGTTTAAACGCATTACCAAGTACAAGTGTCTTAGACTTAAAGATGATAAAATAATAATTTGCAAGAATTATAAAAGAAAGAAATAGTAATGCAAAAAAGAATTGAAAAAAAAAAACGAACACATTCTTTGAGGCTTTGTTGCTCCCATAGTCACATCAGAATTCTTGGTAGGGTCTTTTCTAAAAGCAGCTTTAGAATAGTATCAAGCAAAATAGCTTTAGATAAACCAATGATTACTGAAGTGGCATTATTCCTCCCATTGTATAAAAAATAAAATACTAAAATTAAAATTAATTCGAAGTGTAAGTTATTTGAAGTCAGCTTAACATTAAGGAACTAGAAATTGCACCAAAGCACCATACTTGAATTTGTGTATTTCATATAAGATAACACTGTAAGAGGGCAAGCCATGAGTAATGGTAAAGCTACTCTTTTGTTACTGGAAGATCACATATTCGAATACGCAAAACAGTCTCTTTGCAAATATTCAACAATAACGCTGCATATAAGAATTGTCCTCAGACCACTTTTGCTAGTTGGGATTTAATGGGAAGTGATTTTATACAAGATAACATTGTAATTGCACTGGAGATGTTTCTCACCTGTTTGTTCTTTGTTGGAACGTACATTCGTTGCAGCTTTTTTCTTGCAAACATTCAAAGCCAAGTCCCCAGGTCGCTGATGGATGCCAACAATTTGACCTTTGTAAACTTCCACTCCAGGAGCAATAAACATTTGTCCTCTCTCCTGTGAACTAGCGATTGCATAAGAAGTGCTTGCTCCTTCCTCAAAAGCAACCTGTTACACCATTACTGTATCATTAATGAATGAAGGAAACATTGGCATTGGCATTCTGGAATAATGAGCTATCAATAATTAGAAGTGTTGGATATCAAAGCTAGGTCCTCATTAGTATAATAATAGGATTTTAAATTTGCACTGTGAATAGCAAGGCAGACATTACCAGTGATCCTAGATCTCGAGTACTAATGTCACCAGCCCAAGGCCCGTAGCTATCAAAAACAGTGTTGAGAATAGCTGTCCCTCTGGAAGCAGTTAAAATTGCATTCCGTAATCCAAGAAGGCCACGAGTTGGGATCTTATATTTGAGTAGCGTTGTTCCCTCCGATCTAACAGAGAAATAAAGGTAGAAATTATCAGACCAAATGCTATAATAATCTAGATTAGATTTCATTGATATAATGATATATAAAATCAATAGATTAGATTTCTATAAAATACAAGCACATGAATTACAAACAATGGATCTGTGAAAACCTATGTCACACAAATACAAAAACCTATCAATGCTCTGTTGCCATAATGGTATATCACAATTAAAATTGAAAAGAAAGCAATTTACGCACCCAGCTCCTTGCATATCAAACATTAGCCCTCGTCTTTTGCCAAGAAGCTCAACAACAGCGCCCATGTGCTCTTCAGGTACCTCCACAGTTGCAATCTGCAACCATTCCACTGATTAACATATCTAACAACTGATGAAGGAACTTAAACAGTTTAGGAAAAAAAGCTGGGTACCTCCTAATTAAGAACTTTCAAACAGCACAAAGCTTTGACTAACAGTTCCAATATTTAGTAGAAACAAAAACAAAAAACAAATCCAGTATTCGATTGTAATACCTACATCTAAGTTCAAGCCACACAGTCATGTATGGGAAAAGATGAATAGGGACTTCTTAAATAACATCATCTTAATTTATTTGTATAACCAATAATGTTGACTATCCAAGCAAAAGTTAATTACAAGCTAATTTTTTTAGGAAAGTAATAAAAAAAATGTGAAAGTAAAAGGCCACCACAAATTTCTAGGATCCTTCATATGCTTTTAATAACACCAAACCATGGGACTTTGATTCATTTAGTCACACAATAGATTAGAATAGGAATATTTATAGTTTCAGATGGATCTTCATGCAAGACAGTGTAAAAAGCAAAACAACTAATCATGAGAATTAAGCAATTCGCCCCCCCCCCCCCCCCCTCTCTCTCTCTCTCTCTCTCTCTCTCTCTCTCTCTCTCATAAGTGTGGAAGTTCTACTGCTACAGGAAAATAACTAGATTTCCACATCTATCACTGATATCACCAGATTCACCACCATTTTTTTTATTTTGTTCTTTTAAATAGAAATAAAAATTTGATTGAGAAGTTACCTCAAAAGGTTCCAACAATTTGTCATTCACTGTCTTGTTGATAACTTTGGGAGGCCCAACCATGAATTCATATCCTTCTCTTCGCCTGCAGATGCAACATTATTCAAAGAACTTGAAGAATGGTCAGTGAGAAATAGAATATTCATACTTACATATTTTCTATGAGTATGGTGATATGCAAAGTTCCACGCCCACTGACAATGAATGTATCTGCTGTTTCACCATCTTCAACTTTCATAGCTAGATTTCGTTCAAGTTCACGAGATAGCCTATCCCTTAAATTCCTACTAGTAACATACTTTCCCTGGAAAGTTACAAACGAATTTTAGCTGGTCTGTTAGCTAGATGTGAAAGCAGAACTTGCAATATTATCAAGAAAGTTGAACCTAACAGCCATTATTTTGCCTATCAGACAGCACCGGACATCCACATAGCGTACTAAAGATACAAATAGAGAACTTTCTTTAATGGCCATAAAATATCAATCTATATACACATACCTCACGGCCGACAAAAGGTGCAGTGTTAATGGAGAAAGACATTTTCACTGTTGGTTCTTCCACCTTGATGGAAGGTAGCGGCTTCCCATTTACTTTATCAGCAATTGTCTCCCCAATCTGAGTAAAGAATTGACATGATTAATAAGGTTACTCTAATATAAGATCATGCATATCCAAAACCATCAGTTTATACCTGAATATCAGTAATTCCACATACTGCACATATATCACCAGCCTCCACACTTTCTGCGGGGACCCTATTAAATTTGTCATACACGTAAAGCTCGCCAATTCTTCCATACCTACATGAATCTTCAGAAGTACATATCTGGAAAAAAAATCAACCTTTAAATGGTAGGCAGACTAAAATCCCCTATTTCCTACAATGGACTTCCAAACAAAATGGTTATGCAAAATTGAAATTAAGATCTCAACAATCTGTACTCTACCCACCTCTACCAAAAATTTTAAAAATGAAAAAAAAATATATACATACAGGAATAGTGAGTCCAAGACTAAAAATGTAGTTGCTTTTAAGTTAATGGACATCACTTATTATGCACAAATATTCATCACCGAACAAGGCTGGTGTTGTCGCCACTTGACCCGCTGGTCACAAGTTCGAATCATGTAATCAATGTCTTGCAAATGCAAGGTAAACCGTGCAGAGTTGGATCTTTATAGCACCAGGTCGCCCTTTTTTTAAATTCATCAACGGGTAAAATAATCACAAGGTAACTAGAAAGGTAAAGTGTAGCACGGATGAATTTACAAATTGAAGAAAAAAACTGCTGAATAAGGAGTAGTTAAGGGCATTAATTATTGGCCTATTGTTAGATCGAGCTTTTACCAATAGGCCAAAAGGTATAGTTGTTAGTCAAAGCGCAACTCTTTATACTTACCTTTACCAGCCCAAGCACCATGGTTCGATCCAACTCCAACCCACACAAGGTTGGCTTCACCCACAATTCCCCCCCCCCCCCCCAACACCTGTCGCAAATCAAACTCATTATCTCAACTCTGATATCAAGTATTAGATCGAGCGCATACCATTTCGCCAAAAGCTATTGCAGTTAGTCATAGCGCGATTCTTTCTACTTACTCTTACCAGCTCAAGTGCCATGGTTCAATTTAACTCCGACTCACACCTAACCTTGCCAAGCAAGATGTTGGCTTCACCAACACATGTTAGTCGTAATTGCTATATTAGGCAGTAAGGCTTGTAACTAGGCAGTTAGGCCTTAAGGGGAGATGTTTAGCCTGATGTATAAAAGGGATACTCTGACTATAGAAGGTAGCTTTTGGATAATTCATTGTTTGGCTGAAGCATTGGTCAGTGTACGGGAGAATTCCCTTGTAAGAGAGAAATCTCGGGTGTTCTTTCCTAATAAACATCATTCTTTCATACCCTTTCCTCTTATATTTTCCTATCACCCTTACCCCATTACTATTCATTCACCTTTCAAGAATCCAGAGCCATAACAAAAACTAAAGCAAACAGAATACTCACCTTGACATCCAGGCCTTTTTCTAAAAATCCAGCCTGCAAGCGCCCAATTGCAATGCGCCCTTTATGTTCATCGTACTCAATATTCGTAACCTAGTTGATAGAATGAGCATATGGTAAGAAAATAGATTATACCTTCTATATACATGTTTATGAATCTGCTTAACATAAATTTGGTCACTATCACGTTTGCAAAGTGGATCCTACAAACTTCATGAATGGTCATGTCTGTATAAGGAAATAGTATCATCCAAGTTAAGTTGAAATTAGACAGCATTGCCATGCTTATTTTCTCACAACAGAATATAATGGTCGAGATCTTCATTTGCTTCATTTATTTTTGTTTCCCCTGATGTGGTAAATTAGTAGGAACAGAAGTATGCTAACCATTATAAAAAAAAAGTGATAGAACAATTAAATAAAAAAGACCAAGAAGCAATATAATAAACAACTCCTACAAGCATTTGAAGTGCGCCATCTTTGTCAATACGTGGTCCAGGGATGCATCTGATGATGGATTCAAACAATGGCCCAAGGTCTTCAGCCAGATTTTCAGGAGTCAACCCTGCTTGCCCTTTTATACCACTTGCATATATTACTTGAAAGTCACACTGCAAGAAGAAAAAATATTACGAAGTTAAGATGCTTACAGAATATTTTCTTTCATAATACTGAAATAATTATAATCTGTCGCACACAAATGATATGTTTGAATTTATCAGCAGACAGCATTCAAAACCTAAAAGATTTTATAACTTCCCCACAGACCATTGAGAACAAAGAAACCACGGTTGACTATTGACTAGTGGCAAACTTCCAAGTTCCAACCCAATTTGTAAACCACACAGAAAACTACGATTCACTATTGACAAGTGACAAACTTCCAAGTTCTAAACCAGTTTGTAAACCACACAGAAAACTACAACTATTCAAGTTCACTGGCATACCTGTTCATCTGTTGCATTTAGTTCAATGAAGAGTTCAAAAGTAGAATTGACAACAAATTCAGGGCGAGCAGTAGGCCTATCTATCTTATTCACAACCACAACAACTGCATGGCCAAACTCTAAAGCCTTCTTTAAGACAAATCTTGTCTGTGGCATTGGCCCTTCAACAGAATCTACCTACAAAAACAAACTCGATAAATCCTATATATTACAAGAAGCCACATTTCAGTGAAGAATGCCAAGCAATTATATAATAGAGAAAGCATAACACATTTTCTAGTAGAGGAAAGCAAAACTATCTTTCTTATTGACAACATACCCACAAAGAATAAGGATATATTTGTACAGACAGAATAGTTGAGAAATATCAAAATTCCTTGTATCCAGAAATTCCAAACCAATATTGATAATATGTTAGGTGTCAAAATATTGAAGGACTGAAGGAGGGCATAAAATTTTAAATTCAAGAAGTTAGATGAGATTCTTCTCAAATGCAGCAGTTTCTTGAAAGCCTGTATGTTCATGCACTTGAAAGCAATTTGTATAAGAGACTTGTGTTGTGGAAGTGTAGAACCCAATAACTACCACTCCTGCCCCCTCCCTTTCAAAAAAACCCAAAAGAATATGGTGAACTGCAGGCAAATTGCATAAGTAAAAACCATATTTTTCTTTGCTAAGAAATGTAACAAGCAGCTTGGAGTTACTAATTGTTAATATCAATCATCATGGTCAATTGTGAAAAAAGATGCATGATCCTCAAGTAAATTAGAAAAGAGTAGGTATACCACTAGAAGGATTCCTTCCACCATATTTAAGATGCGCTCCACTTCACCCCCAAAATCAGAGTGACCAGGAGTATCTATTATATTAATCTTTGTGTCTTTATAGGATACAGATGTATTTTTACTTAGGATTGTGATTCCTCTTTCACGCTCCAAATCATTTGAGTCCATTATCCTTTCCTGTACAAATTGATTATCACGGAATACCTGCAAAAAAGTCAACAGATACATATCATCAACAATCATCATCTACCCTTGCTCTTTTCAACAACAACACATCAACTGACCTTGTTATGGAAACTTTGGTTAAACTTTTCAACAGATATTAAGTTTCTAACAAAACAATTTGTCCTTCACATTCTCCACAATGATATAGAAATCAGTTTCTAAATTCTTCGCTTCAACTAAAATTTAAGCAATGCATCACCAAAAAGCACCCCAACTAGTTTGGGATAAACGTGACGTTGATGTATCAGCCAAAACAAAAAAAAGACAAGGCTGGCACAGTGTTAAAGTTGTTCCTTTGTGACTGAAAACTGAAAAGTCACAGATTCAAATTCAGAAAATAGATTCTCTGCAATTATGCAAAGATAAGGTTGCATACAAGGATTGCCCTTACCCCACCCTCGCTAGAATCTAAAGGGGAGTGCTCTCTTTTTTTTTTTACGTATCAGCAAAAAGCATCATTGAAACCCTTTTCATTACTATCTAGATACCATGTTCAGTGTTTGTGTAACATAAAGATATATGGAGAACTATGCCTGAAAATATTTTAATCAAAATCGATATAATTGTCACCAAATGCATTAAAGATGATAATAATCTGACATAGACTATTTAAGTGGTTGAATTTTTCCGGCCACCACTCATATCTTTTGTAAAGAACCTTGGAATACACCACTCCAAAAGGTAGCTCAAAGGGTGGGAGCCCTCTCACACAAGAGCTCATTGAATTTGAAGAGTGGACAATGAAACAGGCCCAGCCTACCTGTGCTAAGAAACGCCACAAGAGAAAGTGGGGAGCGGGCGAGGCTCTGATACCATGTAAAAGGCTCTGATACCATGTAAAGAACCTTGGGATACACCACCCCCAAAAGCTAGCTCAAAGAGTGGGAGTGCCCAATGACTTATAAAGGCCACGTTAGTTGCACATACAACCAATGTGGGACTATATATCTCAACATCTTTTATCTTTGTCTTGATGTCATTGACACCACCACTAAATTGCAAGAAATGATCAAACGAGAAAGAGGGGAAATTCAAATTCCAAGTACTACCTTTGTTTGTTTCAACATGGCATCAACAAGAGTTGTTTTCCCATGATCAACGTGAGCAACAATCGCAATGTTTCTTACATCTCCTCTTCTCATCAATTGCCTCTTCTTCTCTACGATGCAAAAAAATAAAAATTCAATCTTGAAAAGCCCAATGGTACAGAAACATTAAAACTAGACACCCCAAATAAAAACACACTAGAGAAAAGTGAGCAAAACACAGAAATGTGAATCACCAGCTTTGGGTTCTGTGGCTTCAGATACAGAACATTTGATGGGGCCATAAGTAGTGCTCTTTGAAGCAAATTGCAGGCGTGGTTTAGCGGCGGTTGAAGAAGAAGAAGAAGAAGAAGAAGAAGAAGATAAGGGAAGGCCAAACAATTGGTTAGATAAGAAGAGTGGTGAAGAGGTTTTAGGAAGTGTGGTGGAGAATAAAGAACCGTTAACAGTGAGTGCCATCTTCTCCATAACTCCCCTCACTCACTCTCTATAGCAGATAGAGAGAAAATTAAAGAGAAGAGAGAGTGAGGGATTTGGGAAACTAATTATGAGGCTCGGAAGCTCCGAAACTAAGGAAATACTAAATTTTTAGTGGCAGAGGAATGGATACTGATGCTGTGGGGAATAGCCAATTAGGCTTCACTCTCGTTACTTCTATGGCCTCTTTGACTCCACATCATCACCCTAACAATTTTAGTGAAAGTTGATATATAACATGTCTGATTATGAATCATCATTTGGGTTGATTGACCAAATGATTATACAAAAAGAAAAATTAATTTAAAAAATATTTTACGGGAATAAATTCTTAATTTCTTAGTGCTTTTGTAATATATATACTTGATTCGTTGATAATAATATAACTCATTTAATTGCATTTATTTCAACTAATTTCATTTATTTTAAATATTTCTTTATTTTTAATGTGAAATAAGTCTGTGTGTTTTTTATTATGTGAGCAAGTATGTACTCCAAAAAGTACTAAAATTTAATTCACCAAGGAATAATCTTGCACGTATGGAGACATTATTTTGTGTAAAATATCATTAGACATTACAAGTTACAATTTAGTACCATAGTCAAATTAATGGTAAGATTCTCTTCTTTTTATACAATGGTAGTATTGAAATTCGATCCTATAACCTTATGGAAATTACTCAAATCTCTTATCTCTGGACCAATTCTAATGGCTTGATTCTCTTTTAATATGATGAAGGTGGTGTTTCAGTCAATTAGCATATATTGCACCGTAATGATGATAGTTAAAGCCAAGAGGAAAAGGAGAATTATGAAGAAAAAATAAAGGGAGCGTTTGTATTATAATGCATCCTATTTACATAGTCAATTATGCTATGTAAATATAAATTAATTTTTTTCTATTATTAAATTTGACTTAAAAAATTATCAAAGTACGAAAAATTATTTTTATTTATATTTATGTTATGAAATTTAAATATTTAATTGGTTATATGACTTATTATGGACTGTTATATTTATTAAATATAAATTATATTATATATATTAAAAATATTATTTAATACCAAAACGTGTCTCAACGTGTCGAAATATGCTATTTTTTAAAATTAACGTGTCGGCGTGTTGTGTCATATCCGTGTCCCATGTCACTATCCGTGAATCATAAACCTTATCCTTGAAAGTGGGTGACCAGCCGCCCCGGCAAGATTTGTCATAACAACAGTATTATAAGATAACAGCAGTATTATAAGCAGGGGTGTTAACGGGCCGAGCCGAGCCGAGCTTTGATCTTAACGGGCCAAGCCTGTATTTAAACGTGTCCGACTGGCCTTAGCCTGTTACCTGTTACGAATATAATATTGGCATGTGGCCTGATTTATTTACAAAAAATAAAAACATGTGTGAAGCTTGTCTTAGCCTGTTAGCATGTTAAAGAATAAAAATAAGAGAACAGAATTCCACAAAAAATCAATTTCCAGATAGAAACCTTAGCTTCCAATTTGCAGCAATAATTTACAAAGTCTACAATAAATAAATAAAATTAAAGTGAGAGAAGGTAGATAACAGGTTATATTATCTTAGCCCATTATAAAAAAAGTGCCAACAAAAATAAAAATAAAATAAATAAAATAAAAAATAAATTGACACAAACGAGCAGTGCACAGTGGAACGAATAAGTTTTTGTGGGTTTGTTTGTGTGAAAGAGGATGAAGGATAATATATAACAGCACTAGTAATTCCATAAATATACATAAATTCAATATATATCCAAATAGCATAATATAGAACAAAATCATTCAAAAAGTCTGTTAGGTGTAATAATATGTAAATATGTGATTGAATTAACTTATTTTGTATTTCAAAAAAATAATCAGAAGCTTCCTGCGAGAACTAATTTTTTTTTTTTCAAGAGAATAATCTTTACTAAACATGAATTAAATATTATTGTGCTAGCATTTATGTGCCTAAATCTGATTTTGAAAAAAGAGTGTTGTGATTTCTTTCGGGTGAACTTTGGTTTAATACTACTATAAAATTAAAGGTCTAAACTGGATGCACTGGGTTCAGATTTCACATAACCCGGCCCAACAATATCACGAGTGAGGACCAAATTTTTTATGCCAGTCTTGACCTGGTTATGAAATCAAAGCAGAAATTCAATGGGCCCTGTGTTTGAGTTGGCCTACTTTTATTAAAAAACAAAACAAAAATCCACCATTCTCCGATGGTGTAATCTTTTTTCTGTTGTTGCTTCTAAACATGCTTGGGCTTGAGTGTGATGAGATAAAAGGCCCAATTTGAGGACCATGTAACAAATTTTTTTTTATGCTATGCTTGTAAACTAATGACTCTTCCATAAAATTTACATGGGTAGTTGTATTGAATTGTTGCACTTGCAAATGCAGCAATCAAGATGATAGCTACTTTACAGGCTTACAACGGACCTGATTCATGAGGATAACAGAGATGACATTCAAATATGGGTTTTATGAGTATAATGTTGTAGGATATAAGAAAATTTTTCTACCCTCACAATAAAAAAGAGAGAGAAAGTGGAATGATGAAAGAGAAAAAAAAAACATGTGAACCCCACCTCTTAATTGTGTGTGTAGGAAAGTTTTATTGTGTTATGTAACATGATACTAATAAAACCCTTCAAATATTTAATTTTTTTCGTACACTTCTTTTTAAACATTTGTGTCCAGACAGAGATTGGTTATGTGACTTATGTCACTGCAAAAAAACGGAGAATTAATGATTGTGTGCTCCAATGTTAGCTCCGCTTACATACAATTAAGTGATTACTCATTTTTTTTAAAATATTTTGTAAATGGGAAATGTGTGTGTCCATTTAAAAGACACAACTTTATATCCTTTTAAAAGAGAGATAGATATTTGTGTTGTTAGTAGCTGTAGAAGTATTACTATTGTTTAGTTGTTTTTTGGGTTGTTAAGCCCTTTCTTTCACAAAAAAAGAGAGAGATAGATATAAAAAGATATGGGTCCCACTGAAAAAAAGTGTAAGTCTCACCTCTTTGTATATCTCTCTCTCTTGAAAGGACTTAAGTTTGTGTCCTTTAAAAGGATACACACTTTTTTCTTTGTAAATTCATAAGAAAGAAAGTTCAAAGAAACGAGTGATAGCAGTTTTAAATTGAGTCCTTCCTCTGAGGTTAATTGTCACTACTCAGATTGAATCGTGCTGCCTAGAGTCCATTGGCATTTTGGGATTTTTGTGTGTGGATAAATGATAAAGATGAGATCAAATTCAAAATAGGTTGTTGCCAGTTGTAGCTGAGTCATCAGTTACAAGGATATGATGAGGCTATTGGATTATGCGTTGAGTCATTTGATGAAGCTGTAATTAATGAGGCTGTTATGATATTATTATACCCTGTGTCATGTAATGAAACTGTAATTATTGTGGCTGTTATGATAGGATTATGATTGTTTGTATTTCAAATTCAAATTGTAGATAAGTCCTCTATTTTTACGTCTTTATAGGAAATTCCTTTGTACAGTGAAAACGGAACATAGCAAATACCATTTCTATTAATAAACCACAGGTATTTTCTATTGGAGGAAATCATGTTCGAACAGGAAATTTTCACATCATGAGACTAGCTCTCTTAAAGGAATTTTTTTACATTAACAAGGACTTGAACCCAGAATTTTTCTTAAACGAAATCAATTAAGCCTGAAAATTTTGCCATTTCTTTGTAGATTTATTATTAGTAAGGAAAAAATTGTTCCTAATTGAAATAAAGATTTGAAGTTGCAAGCTTTGTTGAATTGATGATATGTGCCTGAAATTTGAAGTTGCAAGCTTTATGGAATTGATGACATATATGTAGATCACATTAATCAATTAAGCCTCACAACTTAGCTGGCATGACAGGTTTTATAGAAAATGTGAGTACCTAATATGCATTCAGCATATAAGGAAATCTAAGCCAAAAAGAGAAAGAATATTGATTAATCTTAAGCAAAAAGGGCAAATATATTACTGTTGATCTGTTAAAATATCAATCAGAGATTGCATATTGATTTTGTGTTGATTTCGTAGGAAAAACAGACAAATTGGAGCGAAAAAGGAAAAGGCTAAACTGAAGGCCACGCTAAGAGCGTGGGAATAACGCTCACAGCGTGAAGGAAGCTTTTCAGACAAAGGCATCCACGCTACTAGCGTGGGACTCACGCTAGTAACGCCAGAAACCAAATTCAGGCAGAAGCTACCATGCTACTAGCGTGGAATTGACGCTAGTAGCGCCAGACTCTCAAACAACCCACGCTTGCAGCGTGGCAACCACGCTAGTTGCGTGGAGCTCCAGGATTATAAAGAAAAACTCCCACGCTCACAACGTGGTAACCACGCTAGTAACGTGGGAGGTACAGACAATCAACATCAAATCCTTTTGATATCAAAGACAGATCACACTGAGATGCGAAAAAGATTAGATCAAGATTCTCCACAAGGTCAAAGACTCTATAAATAGAGACTCAGACCTCAAGAGAACATAACTTTTGCACAGGAGAAATTGCGAGCAACAGGAATCGAAGCAAGCTTTTGGTGACTGAAGATTCAAGATTTCTTCTTCCATTCTTTCCGGTTATTATTTAGTTTTATGAATTCTTTTGAATATTTTGTATTCTCAGACATGAATATGTCTGGCTAGTTTTATTGTGGTAAGGGTCACAACCCTTGATGTGAACCCCTTGTATTTTAGTTAAGTTTATAGTTAAATATTTCAATTGAATTTATTTTATTCTGTTCTTCATCCATAATTCTTTTAGAATTGGCCACTCTATTAGGATTGCGAGGGTTAGGGTTTTCAATAGGAATATTGGGATTCTAGTTCCTGACAAAGGGTAAAATAACAGTTCATGTATGCACTAGGGATAGGCTACATGAACTGCAAACGTGGAAAATTCACTGGGTTAAAGGATTAACTTGAAAAAGGATTTCTAAGGGATTAGGATTCTAATAGGGTTAATAAAGTTAAGATCACTAAGGGATTAGGGTTTAACTACTTAATTAATAGATGGTGAATTGTTTGATCAATTGGGTAATTAAATAT